ATTAATTAAGCATTTAGACGAATAAATCTTTTCCACGTTAACTTGCACATTCAATTTTATTGGCATATATAGATTACTGCTGATCTTATACACTTGAACAAAAATCAGCGCTATTTACATAACATTGTTTTTTATTACATGCTATCTTATATTTTTAGATGATACATCAAGCTTCAACTAAGGAGTTATCAGTTAAATATGAGGCGAAGACTACAATCTTATTAATTGTTTTACACGTTCAAACTATCAAAAATGATTGAACCAATGATCTAACTTAATGAAACATGGCTTATTAGAATAGTATCGTAAAGGTAATATAATAGTGTTTTAATGTTCATAACGATATACAGCAAACAAAAATATCTCACTAACTAATGATTCGAATTTTATGAATTAGACACCTATTGAGAGAATTCAAATGGTAATTGTTTATATCCAAAACAGCCAGATATGACTGAATTATGGTAATTTCAGTTAATTTGATATATACGTTTTTTCTCATGATATGTATTACTTTATTATTAGCAATAAAAAATTATAATTAGTAAAAATTCCGTATACTTTACAATAATAATTCCATAGCAATAAAAATTATAATTCATACAGAATTTCTGTATGCAAATTTTCTAGAGATTGAGTATGCTTCTTTCTTACATTGTACGTCTCTTTCTTACATTGAGTATGTTTACTCTGTATATTGAATACGTTTACCCCTTACAATAAGTATATTTTTTAGTACAATCCCATTCATTATTTATAAAATTTATAGGTTTTTTCCCATGTACGTAAAAATACATTGTTCCTTACATTACATAAACTTTTATGGAAAATTTTACGTACATTATTAAAGGATCATTCCTTACCAGTGTTGGAAATTCAGGGTGCGGAGGGTGCGGACGCAGCAAGTTACACAAAAATTGTGGAACATTTTATGTGCAAATTATATATAATACGTAGTACCAAATAAAAATATATTTTGTAAGCGTTATTTGTAACATTAATTTATTTAGTTCGCGTCTCTTTCAATTTATTTTATTTATGTTTATTTATATTTTATTTATATTATCAATCCATTTAATTTTATTATAAAAAAGACATCTTTTAAGGTAATAAAGATGACTCATATTTTACAACAATTAAAATATTTGTTAGTAGAATATTTAATTTTGACTTTTGAAAAATAATTCTTACACTTACTATATAAAAAAATTTTAATTAAAAATGTCTAATAAACAAATTACTAAAAGAATTTTATTCATTGATGAAGATTCAAATCCTAAAAAAAATAAAACATTAGAACAATCAACTTCATCAATTGATTTTTCTGCCAAAGTTCATAATACTCCAGTTCACCAAATGGAAATTTTTGAGATATCTGATGATGAATCAATTGGTAGTGATAATACTATAAGTTCTGGAGATGAAAAAAAATCACATAATAGAGAAACCATTGATCCTGAATGGTTTAAATTATATCCATGGTTAGAAGTTGAAGTTTCCAATGAAAAAACAATCTTATATTGCAAAATCTGTAGAGATCAAAATGGGAATACCAATTTTGCAAAAGGTTCATCTAATTTAAAACTATCAGGAATTAAAAAACATTCAAATTCTAATGCACATAAAAAGTTTGAATTATTTGAGATAGGGTTTATAAATCAACTGAGCACCAAAAATTAACAATAGTTTCATTGATGCAAATTATTTATTTTTGTTCAAAAAAAAATATTTCATTGAATGTATATCCTGATATGTGCAATTTAATGTTCTTGCAGACAAAAAACAAAGTTACTAATGATAAAAAATTCAATTTAAAACCTGTGTCCATAGCAAAGCCATCATTATCTAAATCAACATATGGGAGTTATGCTAATAATAAATCTGGTTCTGAATTTTTAGAATGTATAGTTTCTGTAATACAAAAAGAACTTTTTGAAGAATTGAATTCATCTCCATATTGGAGCATTATGATTGATGAGACAAATACTATTAATAATAAGTATTTAGCAATTGTAGGAAAATACATGGTGGATAACATACCATACATGAGATATTTGGGAATGATTGATTTGGAATCAACTGATGGAGAAAATATTTTTAATCAAATAATATCATTTTGTGATGACAAAGAAATAACCTCTCAAAAAATAATTCATTTTGGAAGTGATGGTGCATCTAATATGACTGGTTATAAAAGTGGTGTTGCTGCAAGACTTAAAAAAATAAATCCATTCATGTCATCTAATCATTGTGTGTCACATAGACTACATTTGGCTGGAAAAGATGCTTCTAATGAAGTTTTATGTTTTGAAAAATATGAGGAAACCTTAAAAAATTTGTATGCATTTTTTCTAAATCACATAAGAGACAAAACATGTTAAGAATGATGTAAGACATTAATGATGAACCAACACTAAAGATTTTAAATTTATGTGAAGCACGATGGTTGTCCTTTTCTAATTCTGTTAGTAATTTGTATAAAATTTTGAATTCAGTACTTGCAACTCTTAATGATTATGTTAATGAAGGTGATAAACAAGCTGAATTATTGTATAATCAGTTGGATCAAGATTTTATTTTTGCAACTATGTACTTTGCTGACTTAACAAATATTCTAAAGAAATTGATCAATACTTTCCAACTAGATTTTTTATCATTATCTCAATTTAAAAAAAGCCTCAACAATACAATAAATGAAATAGAGTATGAATTCATTGGTAATGAGCAATTTCCACCTAACAATGGTTTCATTTTCAAAGAATATTTAAATAAGCATAATTTTAATTCTCCACCATTTATTAAAGAGTATTCCATTGCAATAATTGATGCTATTCAAAGAAGATTTCCACAAATGGAATTATATAGCTCATTTATAAGGATACCGGCTGCAACTTTTGATGATGGTTGCTACCATCTTTGCATCATATAAAAACGATTGCAACCACTGGTTGCAACCACCTTTACAACCATTTTGTTTCCTTTTTTGGATTGCGACATGGAACACTAGTGGATGAGGTTAGTGATTGCATTCATGAGATTCATGAATATTCATTAAGGGGATTACACATATCAAATCAGATAATCAAAGCATGATTTTTAACTGTTTTGATATGTGTAACCTATTCATGAGTTTCATGAATGCAATCACTAGAGGAGGTCTATTGTATTTAGTTAACTTATTAAAAATATCTGCATATTGTTAAAGTCTAACTATTTTGATATCAATATAAGTATCTTCATTTTTTCAGGATTTATATTTGTGACCTGAAATAGATCAACATAGTTGTTTTTATTTGACCAATAAAATTTATAAAACTATGCATGTGAAAAATTGAAGTTCATTGAACATCACTAGGTCATACTCCTGATCTCTGGATCCAACCATAAGGTTGAAAATGACTATTTTAGTCAATTATTTAGTTGACTGATAATAATTATTGTCTGACCTACTATAAATAATAACATTTTTTGTGGTACAGAAAAACTTATCATTTAAAATGTAAAATAATAATAATTTCTATGTGGAGAGTATCAATATCATCAATTTCCAGAAATATTTGGTTATTACTGCCATATTTGTTCCTTAAGAGCAGTTGTTCACTGATACAGGTAATAATAAGACCAATAAAAGAACAACCATTAATCCAAAAAATTTTCAAAGAATGAAAGAAATAAAAGTATTATCAGTTCATTTAAATGAATATTTTCAATTTAGAAATAAATAAACACCAATGAAAAGTTTCCAATTACAGAAATGATTAGCAGAGAAATTTGCTGCAAAATATTTTATTAAACATGTTTTATAACTGTATATTTTTAGAATTTTAAAAATCTTGGGAGGAGATGTTTAAACAAATAATCAAATTTGAACTGCCTTAATTATAAATAATAAAATAATTGTTAATATCAAAAAAAAAAATTTAGCCAGCTAAGGATTTTTTTTGGACCAGCATGGTCAGGATCAGGAATGCAATTTTGATGATCGTTTATTGATAACAATTTAAATAATTGAATGAATTTAGAGCAATTGCACCACATCCAGGAGTTTCAACAAATAAAAATAACATCCAAATGAAGGATCACTTACTATTCATTTGATTTTAATTCTTTTATTTCATCAGTAAAATGTCACAGGATGTTGATCGAACATATGTATATATTTGTGCAATGCAATGCAAATACATGTTCGAGTTTACACCTAATCATTGCAATGTTAGGCCGTGCTATATAGTAAAGGATCCTTAGTGTGTTTTATAGGGTTGTTAATGGAACATAATGGGTTGGGTTGGGTTCATATTATTGTGGAACAAGGGTTAACCCAACCCAACCCGGGTTATTACAAAAAATTAGAAATCTTAACCCACTCCACGATGGAGTGATACATAACCCGGGTTGATGCCAGAACATTATGCTCCATTTAACAACCCTAATGTTTTATCATTGGGCCATCTGGGTTGTAGAACCATTTAATAATTTATTTTGTATTATTTTGGCTGGTTTTTCCATGAATGAATTATTTTTTCTATGATTTCTACTGCATGTCTTTTGCTATACTCGGGTTGACTAAACAATGATAATTATGCTTACAGTATACATCATTTGAATCCGAAATGCCAAAATAGTTTTTCGAGTTGCCGAAATTATATCCGAAATTATTTGAGCACTTTAACTCAATAGCCGAAATTCTGGGTAGTTTTTTATGTGTATTGAAATTGATTTTTTTAAAACCAATTTCGGCTAACATCCTTAGTTAGTAATAACCCTTTACCCAAAATAATACGACTATTTTTTTTAAATGAATCCCGAGACACTGAAATCATAACAATTGTGATGTGTGTAAATATGTTTTCACCTAATATTAAATCAATTAGAGTTGTGTTTGTACACGAGACATGAGACATGTTATGCTTCATTACTCGCAATTCGACCGTAATTCAAACTCCAGTTGAACCGCGGTTTGAATAATATTTGTTACACTAAAAACTTTAATATATTTAAAAATGTTGGTAACACCATTGCAATTATTGATTATTAAAAACAACTCAATGAATTTGTACCGTGTTAATGATACAAGTCATTTTAGTCGTCGAACTTTATTTACCCTTGTAGATCCTTTAATTCTTCCAAAAATAATCACCAGAGACAAAGTAGGAAGACTTTTTGATTTGTCGCAATTCTGAAAATTTGAAAGCTTTGATCAATCTTAAAATCAATTCAATTGCCAGAATTTAGAACATAAGTGCTGTAATATAGATAGAGTCTGCAACTAGTTGCCATTCGTGACGTTGCAACAAGTTGCAGACACCAATTTTAGAGACGTGGTAGATTTTGAAAACAGCGTCCATTTTCCTGATTATAATTTGAAACTTACAAAACATATAATTTCATAAAAAAAAAATATCTGCATAATAATAATATCTTTTTTTCAGACAAAACATTTCTAAATTTGTTAATTTTGCAAATTTTATTAGTGACGCGGAATACATGACAATGAGTCCCGCATTCTAGAAGTTCACGAGATATTTTCGAAAAAAAAATTCAGTCGTAATAGTCGTAATGTGACCAATATTATCGTTATTATTAGTATTAGTAATAAAGAAAAATTTCCAAATTTGCAAATATTTAAAGTTTCATTGTTAAAATAAATGAAATTTCTTTAAATTCTTTTTTATTAAAAAAAAAAAAAGAAATTGTCATCTATTGCATATACACTCTTTCGTATTTTGATAAAAAAAAAATAATGCGATATAAGAGCTATAAATATTATTATAATATAAATTTTAAACTATATAAAAATGTATAGATGTCATAAACACCATCGACGTCATTATTTTGGCGACTTATATAAAAAATTTCATAACCCTATTCGTAACAAACCTCACAAAGTCTTAAAATTATTTTCCAAGTTAAACCTAAGAGAAAGATCAGAAAGCTCTGTCTTCCCATTCACTGAATCTGAAAGTGAAATAACACCAAACACTGTCAATGCAACATTTTCAAATGGTGATGAAATACCCATAAAAGTGCCTACTGAAAGATTCATAAAGAAATTAGTAAAGAAGTATAAGAAGCAAGAACACATAAACTCTGACAACGCATTCTATTTGTTCTTATTAACTTTACAAAATAAAATTGAACATGATCACAATTACAAAGAACTTCGTTCTCAATTTATGAAAGAAATTGCTTTAGTCGCTTCTATAACTTGGAGGAATTGTCCTATATATTATAAACAAGCTTTTGTGAGATTGGCTTCCAGAATCTCTTCCTCAAATGATACAAATGTCAACTTTTCTTTCGCTATATTTTGTAAAACTTTTAATAGATTAACGTCTAGAATAAAAAAATCTTGATCATTTTATTAATCATTTTACATTACATTCTTTATCTTTATTGTTATAGTTATTAATAAAATTTAGAAAGTTATCTTTTAATTTATTAATTGTAAAATCACATGACCAATCTTTTACTTTGCTAATTAGTTGAATAATGTCTTGCATTAAATAATCTAAACCTACTGGTGAATGGAAATCAGATTCAACTAATAATCTATCCTCTGGCACAAAGTTTATCAGATCGTGCAATCTATTTGACAATCTTTCATTTATAACCTTACTAAAACTAAAATAACATTCTATCGATAATAATTTACTCTTTTTATTCTTTTTAGGACTGTTGTTTAAAGATAATAAAAGTTTTATTGTATCAATTGATCCGCAGAATGAATGAAAGCATATTTTCAACTGTAAATCATTATTAATACTGTCAATTTGTTGAGTATTTTTTTGTTGTACAGTAAATCACGTGGTTTATAATTGTTTGTATTTTACATGTGGGCGGAAATTGGTCATTAAAGCTCCTTGTGGACTGGCTTGCAATCCTATAAAAAATTATTAACAGAAAATGTACAGGAAATATATAGAGAAATGTATGGAATACGCATGGGATTTATGGAAAATGTAAGAGGTCTCTGGTAAAAGTGCACAGAAAACATGGAATTCATAAGGATAAATACAGAATGCACATGAAACACATAGGATTTATGGGAAAAATGAATTCCACATGTTTTCCATAAATCTTATGTGCGTTTCATGTGTGTATTGTAACTATCCTGTACAAATTATGTGCTTTCTGTGCACTTTCACTGGAGATCCCATACTTTTTCTGTAAAAAATACAGCCTTAATAATAACACTGAGGAGCCAGATACAACTTTCTTTCTTATCTGGACTTTTTCCTTGTTTAATAACATCATAGTAATGGGTGGATGATAAGGATACCGGCTGCAACTTTTGATGATGGTTGCTACCATCTTTGCATCATATAAAAACGATTGCAACCACTGGTTGCAACCACCTTTACAACCATTTTGTTTCCTTTTTTGGATTGCGACATGGAACACTAGTGGATGAGGTTAGTGATTGCATTCATGAGATTCATGAATATTCATTAAGGCGATTACACATATCAAATCAGATAATCAAAGCATGATTTTTAACTGTTTTGATATGTGTAACCTATTCATGAGTTTCATGAATGCAATCACTAGAGGAGGTCTATTGTATTTAGTTAACTTATTAAAAATATCTGCATATTGTTAAAGTCTAACTATTTTGATATCAATATAAGTATCTTCATTTTTTCAGGATTTATATTTGTGACCTGAAATAGATCAACATAGTTGTTTTTATTTGACCAATAAAATTTATAAAACTATGCATGTGAAAAATTGAAGTTCATTGAACATCACTAGGTCATACTCCTGATCTCTGGATCCAACCATAAGGTTGAAAATGACTATTTTAGTCAATTATTTAGTTGACTGATAATAATTATTGTCTGACCTACTATAAATAATAACATTTTTTGTGGTACAGAAAAACTTATCATTTAAAATGTAAAATAATAATAATTTCTATGTGGAGAGTATCAATATCATCAATTTCCAGAAATATTTGGTTATTACTGCCATATTTGTTCCTTAAGAGCAGTTGTTCACTGATACAGGTAATAATAAGACCAATAAAAGAACAACCATTAATCCAAAAAATTTTCAAAGAATGAAAGAAATAAAAGTATTATCAGTTCATTTAAATGAATATTTTCAATTTAGAAATAAATAAACACCAATGAAAAGTTTCCAATTACAGAAATGATTAGCAGAGAAATTTGCTGCAAAATATTTTATTAAACATGTTTTATAACTGTATATTTTTAGAATTTTAAAAATCTTGGGAGGAGATGTTTAAACAAATAATCAAATTTGAACTGCCTTAATTATAAATAATAAAATAATTGTTAATATCAAAAAAAAAAATTTAGCCAGCTAAGGATTTTTTTTGGACCAGCATGGTCAGGATCAGGAATGCAATTTTGATGATCGTTTATTGATAACAATTTAAATAATTGAATGAATTTAGAGCAATTGCACCACATCCAGGAGTTTCAACAAATAAAAATAACATCCAAATGAAGGATCACTTACTATTCATTTGATTTTAATTCTTTTATTTCATCAGTAAAATGTCACAGGATGTTGATCGAACATATGTATATATTTGTGCAATGCAATGCAAATACATGTTCGAGTTTACACCTAATCATTGCAATGTTAGGCCGTGCTATATAGTAAAGGATCCTTAGTGTGTTTTATAGGGTTGTTAATGGAACATAATGGGTTGGGTTGGGTTCATATTATTGTGGAGCAAGGGTTAACCCAACCCAACCCGGGTTATTACAAAAAATTAGAAATCTTAACCCACTCCATGATGGAGTGATACATAACCCGGGTTGATGCCAGAACATTATGCTCCATTTAACAACCCTAATGTTTTATCATTGGGCCATCTGGGTTGTAGAACCATTTAATAATTTATTTTGTATTATTTTGGCTGGTTTTTCCATGAATGAATTATTTTTTCTATGATTTCTACTGCATGTCTTTTGCTATACTCGGGTTGACTAAACAATGATAATTATGCTTACAGTATACATCATTTGAATCCGAAATGCCAAAATAGTTTTTCGAGTTGCCGAAATTATATCCGAAATTATTTGAACACTTTAACTCAATAGCCGAAATTCTGGGTAGTTTTTTATGTGTATTGAAATTGATTTTTTTAAAACCAATTTCGGCTAACATCCTTAGTTAGTAATAACCCTTTACCCAAAATAATACGACTATTTTTTTTAAATGAATCCCGAGACACTGAAATCATAACAATTGTGATGTGTGTAAATATGTTTTCACCTAATATTAAATCAATTAGAGTTGTGTTTGTACACGAGACATGAGACATGTTATGCTTCATTACTCGCAATTCGACCGTAATTCAAACTCCAGTTGAACCGCGGTTTGAATAATATTTGTTACACTAAAAACTTTAATATATTTAAAAATGTTGGTAACACCATTGCAATTATTGATTATTAAAAACAACTCAATGAATTTGTACCGTGTTAATGATACAAGTCATTTTAGTCGTCGAACTTTATTTACCCTTGTAGATCCTTTAATTCTTCCAAAAATAATCACCAGAGACAAAGTAGGAAGACTTTTTGATTTGTCGCAATTCTGAAAATTTGAAAGCTTTGATCAATCTTAAAATCAATTCAATTGCCAGAATTTAGAACATAAGTGCTGTAATATAGATAGAGTCTGCAACTAGTTGCCATTCGTGACGTTGCAACAAGTTGCAGACACCAATTTTAGAGACGTGGTAGATTTTGAAAACAGCGTCCATTTTCCTGATTATAATTTGAAACTTACAAAACATATAATTTCATAAAAAAAAAATATCTGCATAATAATAATATCTTTTTTTCAGACAAAACATTTCTAAATTTGTTAATTTTGCAAATTTTATTAGTGACGCGGAATACATGACAATGAGTCCCGCATTCTAGAAGTTCACGAGATATTTTCGAAAAAAAAATTCAGTCGTAATAGTCGTAATGTGACCAATATTATCGTTATTATTAGTATTAGTAATAAAGAAAAATTTCCAAATTTGCAAATATTTAAAGTTTCATTGTTAAAATAAATGAAATTTCTTTAAATTCTTTTTTATTAAAAAAAAAAAAAGAAATTGTCATCTATTGCATATACACTCTTTCGTATTTTGATAAAAAAAAAATAATGCGATATAAGAGCTATAAATATTATTATAATATAAATTTTAAACTATATAAAAATGTATAGATGTCATAAACACCATCGACGTCATTATTTTGGCGACTTATATAAAAAATTTCATAACCCTATTCGTAACAAACCTCACAAAGTCTTAAAATTATTTTCCAAGTTAAACCTAAGAGAAAGATCAGAAAGCTCTGTCTTCCCATTCACTGAATCTGAAAGTGAAATAACACCAAACACTGTCAATGCAACATTTTCAAATGGTGATGAAATACCCATAAAAGTGCCTACTGAAAGATTCATAAAGAAATTAGTAAAGAAGTATAAGAAGCAAGAACACATAAACTCTGACAACGCATTCTATTTGTTCTTATTAACTTTACAAAATAAAATTGAACATGATCACAATTACAAAGAACTTCGTTCTCAATTTATGAAAGAAATTGCTTTAGTCGCTTCTATAACTTGGAGGAATTGTCCTATATATTATAAACAAGCTTTTGTGAGATTGGCTTCCAGAATCTCTTCCTCAAATGATACAAATGTCAACTTTTCTTTCGCTATATAATAGATTAACGTCTAGAATAAAAAAATCTTGATCATTTTATTAATCATTTTACATTACATTCTTTATCTTTATTGTTATAGTTATTAATAAAATTTAGAAAGTTATCTTTTAATTTATTAATTGTAAAATCACATGACCAATCTTTTACTTTGCTAATTAGTTGAATAATGTCTTGCATTAAATAATCTAAACCTACTGGTGAATGGAAATCAGATTCAACTAATAATCTATCCTCTGGCACAAATTTTATCAGATCGTGCAATCTATTTGACAATCTTTCATTTATAACCTTACTAAAACTAAAATAACATTCTATCGATAATAATTTACTCTTTTTATTCTTTTTAGGACTGTTGTTTAAAGATAATAAAAGTTTTATTGTATCAATTGATCCGCAGAATGAATGAAAGCATATTTTCAACTGTAAATCATTATTAATACTGTCAATTTGTTGAGTATTTTTTTGTTGTAACTTTTTTAAAATTTCAACAATTTTTCCACTTGATTGTACACAATGTAAACTAATGCTTTTACCATATCTAATTGCTAATTCAATTTGTTTCTCTAATATTAATATTTGATGATCAATCGATATTTGATAATTTGATAATTTCTTATTATTATTTGGATTTTTTAATTTAAATGATCTATCAATTCCAACTTCTCCAATTAAACAATTCTCATTGTATTTTATTATTAAAGATTCAAGTTTGTCATACCAAATATTGAATGCTATTGGGTTTGGCAATTCTTTAATAAATTCATCATATAATGATGAACTATTGTCATCTTTGTTTTCTGATTTATAATTAATTATTGATTTATAGTGTTCTTGATTGTTAGGTAT